AAAAAAAATGGCGCGCACAAAAAATCGTATACTGCAACAATTATGCAAGATAAATAAATAAAATTATGTTCATTTAAAAGCCTACTAATACTTTATTAAATAAAAAAAAATTTAATAAGAAATTCTATCCCCGTTTTTTTCTAAGACCAATTCGCATCTCCGTTTCATAGACATAATAATATTTTGACTGTTTCCTGAGGAATTTTTTTCCCATTCTTCAACCATAAATCTCTTCAATTCGTCAACATTCCTTGGCATTCTTTTTTCAACATTATTTTTCACGATATACCACATGTTCTCAATGGGGTTAAGGTCAGGACTGTTGGATGGCCAGTCCATTGCATGGATTCTTTTTTCATCAATAAAAGTTTTTGCAACACGCGATGTGTGCTTTGGATCATTATCCTGTTGTAAATGCCAGTTTCTACCGTACAATATCTGTGCAGCAGGTAAAAGCCGAGTCTCCAATATGTTGACGTAATAAGATCCATCCATAATATTGGTAAAGCAAAATAACGATGTTTTGCCTTTTAACGAAATGCCACCCCAGGCCATTACTTTTTGACGATTTTTTGGCAATCTTCGAATTGGTCTTTGCCCATTTTTATGCCACCTGCAAATTTTATTACGAAACAAGTCAAAGGCCGTTTCATCAGTAAAAATTGTATGGCTCCAATCATCATTCATATGAGATTGTGCCCATTCCATTCTTGTTTCAATATGGCGAGCTGTTAACATCGGTGTTCCAATAGGCACAGAACTCTTATAATCTTTTTTTTTCATATGTCTCCATACAGTAGGATGGGAAATTGATGCATTATGCGTTTCTTGAAGTTTTATTGCAAGTTGTCGTGTTGAAACAGCACTATTGTGGCGAATAACTTGCCCAATAGAACGTGCAAAAGTGTGTGTAACCTTGGATGGACGACCATTGCCGCCTTTATGTTCGATAGTGCCTGTCTCTTTTAATTTTTTTAAATTTCTTTGAATAGTACGAAGGGGTATTTTTGATATTTCATGTATTTCTTTTGGTAAATGGACACCATTCATCCAAAAATGTAAAATTGTTTTACGTTGTGCTTCTAATTTTGCAATAACCATCTTTTACAAAGTTTGCACGTCAAAAAAATAAA